GTTGAATCAAGTAGAAAAAGAATGGTGGTTGAGTACCTTACGTTGCGTTAATATAGCTCCAGGCAAGTCAGAATGAGAGTCCTCCTCTACATTTTCAGCTAGTTCATTTTGCTGGGTGGGCCCTAGTATAACAAAGCTCAGTTTAATTTTTGCTTCTTTCTCTCTCCCTGCTACCTTCTTTCCTGCATTTTCTGTGTATACTGAGTATGATTATTGGCGTTGAAAGGAGAATAGGGTAACACAGGCAGAAGATGGAGCTTTTGTTCTCTACAATGAATTTAGGTGATCTACAAATTGATATATATAATAAACCTCTATGCCTTTTAAACCATGCACCTTGTTTCTTGATATATAAAGATCTACAGATATATGCCTTTTTTGCTTTAAATATTGGCTCTATTACTTTAAATTTATCTTAATTGTGTTGTTGTATGCATGTGGTTTTAATATCTAAATTCTGTGTGTAATTGTGAATGTTTTATAACCTCAAATGAAATTATGATTTTACCAAAACTGTTTAATATGTGATCAAATGGTCTTAATCAGTTTGCCCATTAAATTTTATATCAATTTCTTTCATATAGAACCTTCTCAGACTGAAAATTTATAACAGAAAAGAGGTATCACATTGTCCAAATGAGGTAAATAACCAACAAACTTTATTTGGTAGAACATCTCATTCTAATTGCTGTTTGATCTTTTGTTGTGCAGTTAAGTTGACTGGAGAAAAATTATTATGCTGGAAAATAAGACTGTAAGCAATTAGCATTTATTATTGTGCTGTGTACAAACATCCTGTAATTAAACATTTCTTGTGAAATAATAAATTATTATTTTTAAAAATAGCGAGAATATTAAAACTACCAACTTAAAAGGATGGCCACGTTGAGACTTTTGATATGTTACTCTGTACTAGAAAATCATTTACATAGGTAGATGCCCTGTATTTTACATTCAGATTTCATTATGGTTAGTAAAACCTAATCAGCTAGGAGTCTTCTGGAAATGTTTCCCTTGTGAACAAAGAGCATTAGTACCCTGTAGCCTTAGGCTTCATTTGTGTTCAAGGAACATCTAGCAGGACATGCTTTTATCTTCAATCAAAGGGAATCATGGCCTGAGCCGCGATGACACAGCATCACCAGAGAAAGACAGTGCACGTGATAGACAGATGCATGGGAGTGATGTGCACTTCAGAAAGACAGAGTTTTGAGCTTGCAGAAATTGGGAAATCTACAACATCCTACCTCACCCACTGAGGTCTTATTTCAGAGAAAGAGAGAGCTTTACAGAGAAATTGAAACCTTTTAGATACAGAATTCCCATATGACCCTCAAGTTGTTCCTTTGTTATTAAGATTTTATAATATACAATATATGTTGATGAGCCAAGACTGATACTGTTTTATGGATTACATTTTATAGTTTATCTGGATTTCTTTGGTTTTTACTTGATGCATTTTGCTATTTGGGGTCTCTCCACCCTGGCTAGCTTGTTACACTTACTTGTCAAGTCTCTGAGGATCTCTTTATGAAGGGTTCTCAGACTCAGCTGCTGATATACTAGGTTCACACAAGTCACATAGTGCTGAATGCTTCAACTGGCTGTGAGTTTGTCACTGTGAAATGCCCCTCCTAGTCCCTTATACTAAATCTGCTTTACCTGGAATTATTTATTATAACCTTTTATATTTATTAATATATTTTATATATTTTTGCCCAGCTATATATTTATATTTAAGGGTTTTTAGGCACTATATATAATGGAGTCTGTTTTTCATCCGTTCTTACTGTCTCTGTCCTTTAATTGGTCTGTTTAGAGCATTCACATTGAAAGTGATTGCTGATATAGTTGGATTAATATCTAACATATTTGTAGCTGTTTTCTATTTGCTGCACTTGCTTTTCATTTTTTTTTACTTCCCGTCTTCTGCCCTCTCTTGTTTTTAATTATGTATTTATATGATTTCATTTTCTCTTTTCTCTTAACACTTCAATTAGATATCCTTTTAAAATTCTTTCAGTGGTTGCTCTAGGGTTTTCAGTATAAGTTTTCCATAATCTAAATCTATTTTTAAAAAATACTGTATAACATGGGTAGTGTTAGAGCCTTTTTATTCTTAAATAGTAACTGCCACTTGCTTATTCCTATATTGTAAACACACAAATCACTTTGACTTGTTTCTTTAGCAATTTTATTGGTGTTATTATGGTGTATTTCCTTCTCTTATCCCCTCCTCCATCTCTTAACATATCTGTATCATTATATTTGAACAGTTTTTGAGACCACATATAATGAAGTCTTTTTTCATCCACTTTTACTGTTTCTTTTAATTGGTGAATATTATTTCACATTTTCCTCCTATTTTTCCTTCCTTCCTTCCTTCCTTCCTTCCTTCCTTCCTTCCTTCCTTCCTTCCTTCCCTTCTTTCCTTCTTTCTTTCTTTCTTTCTTTCTTTCTTTTCTTTCTTGGCCAGTCCTGGGGCTTGACTCACAGCCTGGGCACTGTCCCTGAGCCTCTTTGTGCTCAAGGTTAGCACTCTACCACTTGAGCCACAGCACCACTTCTGGCTTTTTCTAAGTTGTTTATTGGAGATAAGAGTCTTACAGAGTTTTCTGTCTGGGCTGGCTTCAAACTGTGATCCTCAGATCTCAGCCTCGTGAGTAGCTAGGCTTACAGGGTGTGAACCACTGGAGCCTGGCTTCCCTCCTATTCTTAAAGAATAACTGTCATCCACTTTACTTATTCATATGCTCTATTCATACCCTACAACTCTTACTATTTTAATGAACAATTTAAGTTAAAAATAGGTAAAATAAAAGATTTTATTTTATAATTATATTCTTTCTCATATTCTCTTTCCTCTGTTGTATAGATCTGAGTTTATACTTATGCCATTTTCTTTCTCCCTGAAGAACATCTTTTAATATTTCTTACAGAGCAGGTCTTTTAGCAATACATTCTTCAGTTTTGCCTTGGGAAAGTCTTTATATTTCTACTCTAGATGTGTGTAGGATAGTTTTCCTGAATATAGAATTACAGGTTGGTCTGTTTTATTATGTTTTTGTTTTCAGTGCTTTAAATATTTCTCTACCATCCTCTTTTTGTTTGCATTATTTTGTTTTTGTTTATTTTTAAATTTTATTTTATTGTAAAGATGCTGCCCAGGGAGGTTATAGTTACAGGAGTAAGGTAATGAATACATTTCTTGTCAAGCATTATTATTGCCTGCCAATTTTGCTGATTTTCCTATATACATACCACACAGACACCTACATATATATATATATATATATATATAGTGATTTTCCCTTTTCTTTAAAAAAATTAATGTAAACTAATTGTATAAAAGGCATTCCTTGCAATATTCACGTAATGCATTCATGTAATGCATTTTGATCAAATCATCTCTTACACTACTGTTTCTTACCCTTCATGACTCCCTATTTTTATAATTTTGGTGAGTGACATTCTATTTTTATAGACATGTAAATACATCGATAATATTCATACTGATCACTTTTACAGGTCTTCTTGTGCCTCTTCAACAAACATCTTTCTTATATTCATTTTTTTGGTCTAGATCTCACCTATAAGAGAAAACATATGATATGTGTCTTTGTTATTTTAGGTTTAGATTCTGCATGCAATCATAAGCATGTGGGATTTGTCTTTCTAGCTCTGCTTATCTTGCTCAATATATTGAACTCTAATTCCATCTATTTTTCTGCAAATGGCATTTCATTTTTATAGGCTGGTAATTTTAGTTCTCTTATGGATCTATTAAAATAATTGATTTTCAGTCTGTTTAGGTTTAACGTGGTATAAGGCTTGGTGTGAGGCTCTACAGTTAGAGTCATGTCATTCATGAAAACAGTCATCACTACATTTAATAAACATGCTGAGTAAATTTTGTGTGTGTTCCAGTCCTGGGCTTGAACACAAGGCCTAGGTGATGTCCCTGAGCTTTTTTGTTCAAGGCTAACTATCTAATACTTTGAGTTACAACTCCATTTCCAGCTTTTTTTGGTAGTTAATTGGAGATAAAATTCTCAAGGATTTTCCTGCCCAGGCTGGCTTTAAACCTTGATCCTCAGATCTCAGACTCCTGAATAGCTAGGATTTTAGGGGTGAGCCACAGACACCTGGTTCTAAAGACTTTTTATTATCTTCCAGTAGAGTATTTTGTTTTTATAGATTCATTTTTTCCTATGGAAAATTATTCTCCTTGGTGCTAGTCAATAAATATGTTATCCAGGCAAAACAGTTCATTACTATGATATCACAAAAATGAGTGGAAAATATATTCGCTACAGAGAATCCTTGAAAACATTCCAGAACTATCTAAATTCTTTATGCATTTTTTTACATTTTTTATATTACATATTTTTAAAATATTGGCCAAGAACTATAAAACTCCTTTCTCGTCTCAATGAAAAATCTAGAAAGTATTGAATGGGACTTTGAAGCCATTATCAAACAAACAAACCAAACCTTTGTACCTATATACAGTAGGAATAGTGGTAGCGAAAAATAGCAAGTACCCAACTCCAAGTTGAGAAGGCTCTCACAACTTTTCTGCACAGACTGGCTTCCAACTTGATCCTCCCCCTCTCAGACTTAGGATCCTGTCTTTCTCCTTTGACAGTATTCTTAGCCCTTTTTCTCATGTTTTGGGTCACATCACACACACACACACACACAAAACAGAGGTCTCTTCCAGTTTATCCCTCAGAACAGATCTTTCTGATGGGTTTTCTGGAGAGAATATATCAATATGTTTATACAGAATAACTCCAAAGGACATTTGTTTTCTTTTTGTAATTTAAATTTTATTGTAAAGGTAATGTACACGGGGTTACAGTTACATAAATAAGGATATTTGTTTTCAAAACAAACAGGTCAATATTGTTCCTTAGCACAGCCAGTATTGATTAGAAAAGTGTCAGTTGCTCTATTTAGGTTGAAGTATCATAGGCATTTTTTTTCATTTCTTATATTTATTTAGAAAATAAATTTGAAAGTAAGTCTACCTTTGATTCTTTGTCTTTTGACATTCCTGGTTTCATTTTATCATGTGGATGATCAGGAGTCAAATTATTCTTGTTTGTTTCACCGTCTTCAAGCAAGGGAACATGACTGTAATTGTTATCTCGTCTTGAATTCACAAGAAGTAACTGTGATTTTAGCTTGTCAATAATCATTTGTTGAAGTGACACCGGTTCCTGTTGCTCACGTATTCTCTGTTCATAGTTCTCAGTCTTTTGCTGTAATTCCTTTACTGCAGAATCTCTATCCATGCATGCCTGTCGGAAGGCCTCATATGCTTTATTGAGTTGCTCACCAATGTTTTTATCCATTCCTCTTTTTCCTGTACCATCACTATAAAGGACAGAGCAAATGGCAGGTAGTTCAGGGCTTCCGCCGTGCGCTCATGCCACAGGTCGCCGGCACCCGGCCCAGGGAACCTGTCATAGGCATTTTTGCAGCACAACTTAGTGGTAATGGCTTGTGCATTAGAATTATTTCTAATTCTGACAGTTTCTAGCTTACTAACAGTATGATCTTAGTATCCTGTTTGACCCTTAGTTTCTTTATATGCTAAATAGGATCCTGGCTCATTGATTGTTGGGGATTGCTATATTTTACAGAAAAGTGTATGTTTTATATTATGAGATAAATATGGAGTCAATATGAGTTAACTAGGTTAAACCTCCATTGGCCATGGCTATGTTCTCATTTCTCTATCAGATGACAATTTGTCTGACCATCTCCTTTTAAATTCTCTTTGTGTATGAAACACACTCGTGCATGGATTTCTAAAAAGAAATGAAGAAATGAACGAATACAAGGTATTCTGCCACACAGCTTCTTGACTTCTTGAAGCAGTGCTTTGGAAGTTGGAAAGCCCTTTGTATATGTAATTTTTGCCAGGAGGGGAAAAGAGGATTTTTTTGAAGTGTCTCTCTCATTTGCTTGACTTCCATTCAACCATTCCTTTCCTTCTGAATGAAGTAAGGATACTTCGTACTTTTTAACTTCTTGCCTGCTACCCACAAACAAAATCCAATGCCAGTTTTATGCTCTGTCATGAAAACGAATATATTAGCATCCACACTGTTTACAATAAGCTGTTTGGATTCTATTTTATTAGGAAATCACTACACTTACCACTAACAAAATTGTAGTTTGCTTTTCTTAATCACAGAGGCTTTTTTTTGTTTTTTTTTTTTTTAAACTCACTTTAGATTTGGGAGACAGGTTTTTATATCACTGGCTTTTGTCCAAATGTCATGTGAAGAATTTATTAATATTACTATAATACTTCAGAGGACTGTGGAATGCACATTCTAGGCAGATTTTTTTTTAGCTCTGTAGGGGGAAAGGGAAAGAGCAGAGAGGATGGTGCATTGGAATTCTAGTCTCTGCAGGAGGGATGAGGAGAATTTTCTTCCTGCCAGTCTGTGTTGCTGAGCCTCTGTACCACAGTGTTAATATTCTTGCACAGTATTATCTTCTTTGTTCCTCTGGGCTACTCACACAGTTCAATGCCACAAAGCAATTTGACAAGAATCTTTAAAACGTAATGATGATAAATGAGGTAGAAAATAAATATAATTTTTAAAGTTACTTCTTAGGAAAACTACCATTATTTTGGCAAAATATGTTAGACTTGATAAGACTTCTACTTAAAATACACATCATTTCTTGTTTTTTCATAAATATTTTGGAACATTAACTATTGTCCCCTATAGATATAATCTAATATTTAATGTTTTAAAGTCCTTAAAGTAATGTGAAACTTGAATTCGTCATAGGAAGCCCGATTTAAAAAAAAAATCACAAAACCTAGTCAATCAGACACGAGAAGCAGGTTTTAAAGTTTTAATGAGTTTTTTCCAAATGCTTTCTATTACAAACACATCATCTATACGTTTAATGATCACACTCAAAGGTTTTTGCCAAGCTGATTATTTTCTGAAGCTCTTTCTGCATTTGTTGGAGCTTTTCTTTTCTATCTTTTGTAAGTCTCAGTCTTTCTTTGGCTTTAATCACACATCCTCCTAATGCTAATTCTGTAGCTATTGCTTCTCAACTCCACGAACCCCTTTTCTACTCAGTTGACTGAGCCTGAAGCTCAACAATCATTCCTCAAATTCCCATAAACAGCTGGCTTCTTGTTAGGTTATGCCAGTAGGGGGCACTGAAGAGAGAAATGGAAAGGTGAAAATCAAAGGAGGACTTCCTGCTTTCACCTTGCCGGTAGACACACAGGTCCAGCGCAGCAGGTGGTTGGCTGTAGTCTATAGATTCACGTTCCATCTCCAGCATTACCCAAAATATGATTCTTTTTTTTAAATTTAATTTTATTTGTGAACATACTGTACAGAGGGGTTACAATTACATGGGCAGGATAATGCGTACATTTCTTACCAAGCATTGCAGCCTCCTCCTTTGGTTTACCCTTCACATCCCTTCCCAGCCTCCCCCCTCCCCCCCAATCCCAATCCTTCTCCTTCCCCCCCCCCCCACCCCCGCACCGACGTTGTAAAGCTCGTTTTGGACATGACAACTTGTACTTCTCATTGTTGCAACAGGTAATATGATTCTTTTAAGACTGGAGTATTATGTACTCTCACATAATAGGGAACACACTTTGGGGCCTCTGCCTAGCTTATTCCTCTCTACAGATCTCTTGGCATTTGCCAGAATATCTTCCTTCCCTCCCTCCCTCCTTCCCTTCCCTCCCTCCCTCTTTCCTTCCTTCCTTCCTTCCTTCCCTCTTTTCCTCCTTCAAATGCCTTGTCTAATTCTTGTTCCCCAAAGTCATATTTTAACATTAAATCTGATATCAAATTTCATGATTAAATTAGACCCATACAATGAATGTCAGGTTTTACAACATGTAGAGACCTTGAGTCCTTCAAGGGAAAAGAGGATAGTGTGTGAGGATATATTATAAAAATAATTTTAACAGAAGTATGGAATTGCTTTTGCTGTTTTTTTCATGAATGTGTTCATTTCTCTAATCCAACCTTCAGCAGAGCACAGAGAAGGGGTTGGTGGGTGGAATGTCTCCAAAGAACAGAAAAGAAAGTATGTGAGGGCTGTAGTTTAGGAAGGACCCTGAAGACAACATCCTAGTATTTTGAATAATTTTAATGTAACTCACCAAAACTGATTGAGTTCCTAAAGTGTTTGAAAGTAGTTAATTATGACTAGGCAAAGTAATTTCCATGGATGGCAACTCTATATCTCTCTTTCATTTATTTTTATCATTTGTATTTTAAAAGTCAAGATGATTTGATTGTGTTGAACAACTCTGTAATGAAATTATTCATTTATGCAAACATATCAAAAAATGAGCCAATGAGAGCAATGTCTTCAGTAAACAAATGAACAACAACCAAATGGTATCTCTGTTTTCCTTCTGATTGGTCTTCCTTGAGTAAAGAGAGTAAATGATGAAGATTTTGCATGATAAATTCCTTTATACACTTGATGCAGCTATTGTGTTTCCAATTCACAGAACAACTTAAAGAATTTATTCCAAAACTTATGTGTTTATTTCATCTAGAGGTTAATGACAAAACTGAAGTTTTTAACCTGAAAACATTCTCTGCTTGTCCAAAATAATTTTAATGTGGCCTGCATCTTGGTCAAGTCTGTTATAACCATCCCCTCTTGTGTCTTTGAAAAAGTTCACAGATTTGAAAATCTAAGAATTATGTAGTTAGTGTGCCTATCCATCTTCTCTCATTTAGTCCACTATATCCAATATTTTAATATACCTATTTATGACAACTCTATTGTTTTTCTCCAATTAACCTTTAGTGAATATGAAAAAGGCTGTACTATTTTACTCACCATCGTGTAGTGACTTTTCACAGTTGAAAGCATTTGCTTTCAAAAGATGGCATTAGCTGATGGCATATTGAAATTCATAATTAAATCCTGGAGGTGTTCTTCAGAGTGGCAGTGCTTGGAGGATAGGAAACGTGGTACTCAGAAAAGTTCACGATATGCAAATGAACTCTAAGAAATCAAACACCACCGATTTCAATTCCCATAAGAGGTTCAATTAGAAATAGAATCCTTCTTTGCTTCCTGCCCTGCACTGTCATGTTGTTCTGGGCTGTGCACTGTTTAAACAGCTGCAGGGTTTTACCTTTGGGGTGACTAAATTGCTCTGGTGAGGTCGATCCCTGTATGGAGCTAAAACTAAGAGGAAATTTGATCGTTTGCAGAATGACTTAGAAACTAGGGCTGGGTTCTGATGTCTGTTTTGAGAAGTTAAGACAGTCTAGAGAATGTGAGGGCCTGGTATAAGTTTTACTCAGTAAGCTAAATGTCAGCCTTACTTTTCTTTGGTACAGACTAAGAATGAAAACTGATTTTGTAGTTATTCATTGATTTTTTTGTTATTTAACAAAGAAGTTTATGTATAAAATGTATCTTGATCTGTGGAAAGGGTAGGTTGGGAGAGATGGGTGTGAAGGTTGAAATGGATGACATTGATCAAGACACACTGTATTCATAAACTGCTTTGTTGAATGGCCACTCTTTTGTACAACTAGTTGAGGACAATAAAAATATTCTTCAAAAAAAATGAAGCTAGCATAGACAAGGGTACAGCAGATTTCCAAAAGGAAAAATTTAGACATTAACTTCTCAACTCACATTGGTGCTTCTACTTTGAGGATATCAGAAGATGCTATTCACTGCTTTTTTTCCCTCTGCAGTTTTCCATTCTTCTTTACTTGCATTCTCTTTTGCCTTCTATTTGTGCATGTCCTGTGGTTTCAACTCAGGGTCTGGGCATTGTCCCTGAGCTCTTTTGTTTAAGGCTTATCTCTTATCACTGGAACCACAGCTCCACTTCCAACTTTTTGGTATTAATTGGAGATAAGTGTCTTTTGGCCTTCTTTATCTAACTCTGCCTCTGTCCCCATATATGATTCTTGTTCACATTCTACATATTTATGAACAAGAAGACTGTTCCTCATATTTCCGTGTCCCCTCAGTACAGTGGCTCTCAGTTATTGTGTATTACACAATACCAGGAGGGCTTTTCTATTGAAGCACCAATTGCAAGACTCCACTTTCTTTTCTTTCCTTTCCCCATTCCTATGGCACTTAGTTTTCAGAATTTTTTTATTTTAATTTTTATTTTTTGTGAACATACTGTACAATTACATGGGCAAGATAATGAGTACATTTCTTATCGAACATTGCAGCCTCCTCCTTTGTTTACCCTTCATCAGAATTTTTTAACCACATTTTTAATGCCCCGTTTTAATTTTCTGGTCTTTATATATTTATTTTTCATTTCATTCTTTTTTATAAATTTTCTGTCACTATTACAGGTTGAAACTAGGGCTGTGCTGTGCCCCACAAGCCATCTAGAATTGCATCTCTACTCTGTTTCTTTCCCTTTAGTTATGGCTTATC